TTTTTACTTTTATATCTTAATTTCTGTGTGAGAAATCTTTCTCCACCTGTGCTGTGATCACCTACTAGGCTTTCCACCCTAACACGCACATGCTCAGACTCTACAACTCCCAGCTGGGAGAGCTGGTAATTAGCTGCTGTTTCTATGCAAGCTATCAGTAGGAAGCTCTTTTCTGGAGTGAACATAAAAGCATTTGGCAATTTTAAAGGATTTTACCTATAAAACAAAAGACATTCCTTCCCTACTTCCTGACTACAACTTCCCCCACTGCCCCAACACACACACCCTGTACCCTTGGTACATGGAAAAAGAAAGTAAGTCTACGCTAATCTTAAATTTACTACACATGGTTTGGCTTATTCAGTTCAAATTAAATTCTTTTCTTTGCTTATCCTGTCCCTTTCACACATGGGAATTGGCCCTTGGAGTTAAATTCCTTTATAAAGTTCCTATTGTATGACTGGGGGTAATTTCTCAATACTGGGTGGTGATGCTAGATCTATGGTTGCTCAAACAGATGGAGGAATTTAGAATAAAGATCTAATGATTACCAATTAGATTGGCCTGTTGGCCACAACCCAAGAGAAGGGGTCTGAGGCCCTGTAGCTCTCTACATATCACACTGTGGTTTTTGAAGTATATTGCTTCTGTGGAATCACAAGTGTCAATATCTACTTTTAAAAACATTGAAGCTTTTAAAATATGTAATAAAAAACACACGTTTAAATGTGCTATGCAGGCCAGGCACAGTGGCTCACACCTGTAATCTTAGTACTCTGGGAGGCCCAGGTGGGAGGATCACTTGAGGTCAGGAGTTCGAGACCAGCCTGAGCAAGAGTGAGACACCCGTCTCTACTAAAAATAGAAAAATTAGCCGGGCATGGTGGTACGCACCTGTAGTCCCAGCTACTCAGGAGGCTGAGGCAGGAGGATTGCTTGAGCCCAGGAGTTTGAGGTTGCTGTGAGCTAGGCTGACGCCACGGCACTCTACTCAGGGTAACAGTGTAAGACTGTCTCAAACAACAACAACAACAACAACAACAAAATATGTGCTATGCAACAAATTTTAACACACTGAAAACCACCTGGACCGGATTCTAAAATAAACCTCTTGCTGGTTCTATTTGATAGAAGACTGTTCTGAGGTCATAGGGTAAGCTGTTAAAACCTTTTTTTTGCAATAATGTCTCTGTAAATTAGACCTTTCCCAGTACTGTGCAACCAAAGAGGAAAAAAAAAAAAAACTGCTTAGGGTGATACTGGAGGTCAACTGTTAATCTCCAATCCCTGATTTCTAGTTTTTGTATGCATCATTATAACATTACACTAATTAAAACTGCTTTAACGTATATTATATAATGAGGTTCCCCCTTAAAATTTCAACAAAGGATACCTCTCTGTAAAATAAAAAACTTGAAAACTATTGCTTTGGATTATGTTGCAGACTTTCCAGGGTTGGAAACATACTCAGAGTAAGTCTGGAGTCTAGCCCTCTCATCGTGGCAAGTTGCATTTTGCTCCCTAGCAACTATATCCCTAATTTTCTCTTACAGAATGAACCCTCCCACATTACAAATGGACTTTGTGGGACTGTCAGTCAAAGTTGACCACCCTTTCTTGGGTACCACATCAGGTCACTCAGACTTTCTCTCCTGGGAATTTGAATTCTGAATGGTCCAATGCAAGGACTGAAGAGGTTGGAGTTGACTTATCCCTGTGGCCTTTCCCTGAAGACACTGTCCATTGGCTTCTGCAACCTGGCTCCTCTAGTACCCCTGAGGGTCTTGTCTTTCCTGAGGTCTGTTGGGTAGCCTTTCCTTTGAGGTCTCCAAACCTCTCTAGTAAACCAACCCCCACCTTTTTTGTTTTTATGCTGAAGCTAGCCAGAGCTGTTTCTGTTGTTTGCATCCAAAATACTCTGATTTACTTTTCACTTTGTAAATGGGGAAATAGTGGTAGCATCAAAAGTGACTTGTTCAAGGCCACACTATGAGAATTAGGGGCACAAGTTTAAGGCTATGCCGTATAGGAGGAAATGATCCTGAATCAATAGGCACAAAGGTAGAGCAAATCTTTCTAGGACAAAGTTCACTGTGTGTGTGTGTGTGTGTGTGTGTGTGTGTGTGTGTGTGTGAGAGAGAGAGAGAGAGAGAGAGAAACAGAGAGAGAGAGATTGATTTACAGATAGAATGAATAATGGTGTTGGAGATGGGGGGGTACAAGATCTTCATAATTATGGAACCATAATTCTGAGCCACAAATGTGAGTTTTCAGTTTTTTTTTTTTTTTTTTGAGACAGAGTCTCACTGCGTTGCCCGGGCTAGAGTGCTGTGGCGTCAGCCTAGCTCACAGCAACCTCAAACTCCTGGGCTCAAGCGATCCTCCTCCCTCAGCCTCCCAAGTAGATGAGACTACAGATACCTGCCACCATGCCCAGCTAATTTTTTTTATTTTTCGGCACCCGGATAATTTTTTCTATTTTTAGTAGAGATGGGGGTCTCGCTCTTGCTCAGGCTGGTTTCGAACTCCTGAGCTCAAACAATCCGCCCGCCTCGGCCTCCCAGAGTGCTAGGATTACAGGCGTGAGCCACTGCGCCCAGTCCAGACCAGGTAGAGTTTTGCAGAGTCCCAGAACCATGGCCTCAGTACCCGAAGGCTTGAGGAGGAATTCCGAAAAGGTGGAGGAATCTCAGGATTTCAATCTGAAGGGGAACTTGGGCAGGTAAATACCTAACTAGGGATCTGAATAAATAGAAGAACTGAGAGTTTGAGGGACTAGATCACATGCTAATAGTGGTTCTAGACTCTAATAAGAGCCAATGAACCATAAGCTCTGTAAGGAGAGGATCCATGTTGGACTTCTTCCCCACTATATTCACAGCACCTAACACATAGTAGGTGCTCAATACACATTTGCTGAATGAATGAATGGGTTGGTTTTCTATGTGGTTGTCTGGACAAAGCCAGGCAAGTGGCTTTATTACTGATGGGTTTCTAATGGAGTAATTCTTAAGCTTTGCTTTCCTGGCCTCACCCACCACTGGGGGCCAAATGGTGCCTGGTTGGTGAACAGTGTCTGGAAAACACAAGAGCAGTGGCTGCAATCTGTTCCCAATAGTCTCATTATTGATGACCTTTACTCAGCAGCAGCTGTGGTACAAGGAACAAAAGGTTCCTGTGCTTGCAGCCTAAATGACAGAAAGCAAAACAAGCAACTGACAGCTTTTCTGTGTGTGTGGGGTGTGTGTGTGTGTTTCTTGTGTTAAGGCACAGAGAATCAACATTACCTTGGATTTACAACAAGGACAGGAATGATTATTTCCTATTTTATAAACAAGTAAACGAAAGCACAGACACAAAGACTTGCCCAGTGTGCAGAACTGTGTTGACAGCCTAGCCTGGAGCACCTAGCTTCTCTTCTTGTGCTCTGTCCAGATAGTTGTCACTCTATCCAATTCAGGGTCCAGCTGGATAGAGGCGTTTACTTCATCGTTTCCATACTAGCTGTGTCCTTATAGGCATACCCTGGGTCTCCAGTTGGGAAAAGGTCCTTGGAAAGAAGGGAGTTTTAAGGTATGTGAAAGAGGGAAGATTGCAAGTGGATAAGTGGGCTGGGGGCAGGGGTGGCCCCACCTGTGATGGACCCTGAGCCCCACTGTCCTTACCCCGCAGGACAGAGATATATAGTGGTTACCAGGGCTGGGGTAACTGTTCAACATTTTTGTGTCTCATAGACTCTCTCTAGAAACATTCTTGGCATAGGCCTTTTTTGTTATCTTCTGGTACCACCACTGTTTGCAGTTTCCTTGCTCTTGCTTAGACATAGTGATTCCCAGGGGAAGGGCTCTAGCTGCTGAGGGGCACTGACAGGTGGCATTTGTTAGCTTTTCTCACCACTCGCAGGGATGACCCCAGCCAAGCACAGCAAGTAGATGATGTCATTTGGAGCCCTTCCCTTAAAGGTGCTGGGAATTTCCATGTGACCCGCCACCCCCTGGCCCTTCCTCACAGTCCCTTCTCCCCAACTCTGCCCCCTCACTCTCTGAAGCAGTATCCAGGGGCTCCCCTTCCCTGGGTCCTTCCAGAGATACAAAGCTGCACATCAGTTTCTCACAGACCTATGAGGGTCTTTAAGGATGGAATTTCTGGGAAAAGCTTGGGACATTTTGGGCAACAGGTTCCTAATATTCAGTACAATGATTGCTGCCTACTCAACTGAGCCCAGGCCCACTGCCTGCTTACCGGCTGACAGAGCTGGGGTGGAGGGTGAGGATGGATCCCTGAGTCCTTGTTTCCTACTTAAGAGCCTGAACTCTAGGATATCAGAGTTCAAGACGCCTGGGGACCAGAGGTCGGTGTTCATTTAGCCTAGGGTGGGAGAAACTCCTCCCAGGTCCCAGCACCTCTGTGAACCCCTGTTTGGGACCCGTTAAGGGTCTAGGATCCTCAGCCCACAGCCTCTGGCTTGAGGGACTCACAGCAAATTCCAGTCACAACCGGCTGCCGCCTTTATCCATAAACCCTCCCGGGACCGACAGCCCAGCAAGACTGTGTACCAGGCTGTAACATTTCCTGTCTTTTTTGGGGGGCGACGGAGCTCCTTGGAGGAAAGGGCGAAAGACTGAATGATGGATCCTTACTGGCTTCTTTCTGCCTCTGAGTCTCTGGTTTTGGAGGCGGCCTCGGTGTTCCCAGGTTTACAGGTAGGGGGCAGCATCGTCCCCGACGCCCAGATCCAGAGACGGGATCGCCACGAGTGCAGCTGTAGGGCGGGGCAACCCGGTATCCCAGCCCCAGGCGAGTGGCGCGTGCGCAGCCCGCGGGCCTTCGCGTCCTTTACGGAAACAGCCAGGCACCTTTGAGCAGCCTACATATACTTTATTTCGATTTTAGCCCGAGCCAGGTCTCCTTGAAGTCCCGCCTCCTGGACGCTCCGCTCGCGCCCGGTCCTAGAAAGCCACCCGGACCAGCGGTCACCTGCCTGAGGAGCGCTCGGCGTCCCGAAGCCCCACGCCTGCGGCGGCCAGGCTCAGCAGTAGGGGTTGAGCACGCGGCAGGAGCAGGCGCTGCGGAAGAAGCTGCAGTGGCAGTAGGCACACGGGTTGCAGCAGGCTGGCGCCGGCGGCTTGCAGCTGAAGCGGGTGGCCACGCAGGGCGGGGGCCGGGGCTGTGCCACTTTCTTCACGGAAGCTTCTTTCTGCGGGGGAAACGCCAGGCTGCCCGAACCGGCCACGCCCGCCCCCCTCCTCCTCACCTCTGCCCGAGAATTCGTCGGGCTGTGAAGGCCCCGGACCAGACACCCCCGCCTGGCTGCCCACTGCCCGCTGGAATCGTGCCCACACGGACCCCAGCGGGTCCCGCCTGCTCCCCCAATCAGGTGCTCCCCCCGCCCCCCATTCCTGGCTCCGGCCTGGCCCTCTTTTCTCCCTAGGGGGCCCTACTCAGCCCCAGTTTTTGACTGCTACCTGTGTTTTCTGCCTTCCCATCTATCTGCAGCCTCTGCCAGTTCTGCCTTCACAATAGAGACCCGCTTCTCCATTTCCACCGCTGCTACCCTGAGCCATACCACCATCTTTTCCCCTCTGTCACTCTGGCCCCCTTAATGTAAGCAGTCCACTCAGTGCACCAAAGGGACCCTCTACGAAGACTTATGATCGCATCCCACACTAACTTAAACACTCCCAGTAGTTTCTCTTTGCGCTTAGACGGAAACAGAAGCTTTCCTTTGGCCCTTGAGACCCTCTGTGGTTTGGCCCCTGCCCACCTCCCAAGCCTGACTTTACCAAGCTGTACCACTGGCCTGCCTTCTGTACACGGAACATAGCAAAGGAGTTCCTGCTGCAGGATCTTTGAGCTTGCTGCTCCCATTCCTGGGGACATTCTTTGCTAGCTGTCCCATATAGGTGGCTACTGGGTACTTGAAATGTGTCTAGTGGAACTGAGGAAATGAATTTTCAAATTTTATTTAATTTTAATTAAACTTAAAATTTAAAACTGAAGCAGCGTTAACTTTTTTTTTCCCCATTAAACACAACTTTGTTTTGTTAGGACTACATTTCACTTTGTTGAAAATTGAGCATTGGAATTGAGATGTGCTGTAAGTGTAAACTATGCACCAGATGTCAAGGATTTAACACAACAAAAAGAATGTAAAATATTTCAATAACTTTAAAAAGTAATTACATATTGAGATGTTAATACTTTGAATATAAAATATATAATGTTAAAATATTAAAATTAATTGTACCCGTTTCTGTTTACTTTTTAAAAATGTGGCTATAGAAAATTTAAAGTTATATATGTGGCTCACATTGTATATCTATTGGACATTGCTGCTCTAGGTTACTGAGTTTTTCAGTCTTTACCTAAACGCTGCTTCCTTAGGCCTTCCCTGACCACTCTTCCCTTCACTCTCTCATTACCATGCTTTATTTCTTTTTTTTTTTGGGAAAAGTCTCACTCTCTTGCCTGGGGTGAGTGCGGTGGCGTCAGCCTAACTCACAGCAACCTCAAACTCCTGGGCTCAAGCAATCCTACTGTCTCAGCCTCCCGAGTAGCTGGGACTACAGGACCGCGCCACCATGCCCGGCTAATTTTTTCTATATATTTTTAGCTGTCCAATTAATTTCTTTCTATTTTTGGTAGAGACTGGGGGGTCTCGCTCTTGCTCAGGCTGGTCTCGAACTCCTGAGCTCGGAACGATCCGCCCGCCTCGGCCTCCCAGAGTGCTAGGATTACAGGCGTGAGCCACCGTGCCCGGCCTGCATGCTTTATTTCTTAACAGCCTTTATCATCTCAATTTAGTTACCTACTTATTGATTTGCTTGCTGTTTACCTGTTTTCAAGGATGTAAACTCCCCGAGAACAGGGATATATCTTTCTTGTTCACTGCTATATTCCCAGTGTCTAGTGTGTAAATATATTTGTCAATTATATATTCTTATCTGTCAATAATCTGATCTGCTTATTCACTTTACAGCCAGCGAAACAAGCCCAGACAGGAGCAGGGACTTTTCTCAAGATCACATAATTCTAGGTGCTACCTCCTAATACCTAGTCCAGTATTCCTTGCTCTGGTTACAGTTGATCTGATAAACTGAGGCACACTAAAACAGGAATAAGGTGTGCATTTCAACAATGCCTTAATCCAGTATTTTCCAAAGTGTGGGAACCTGTATTAATGGTGGTATGATTTTAGGTGGTACATAAACATTAAATGAGCCAAGAATTACAATAGAAACGATTCTTTTTTCAATCTCTTTCAACCTGAAAGGCTCAGTTTGGTGCCCGTATGTCTTTAATGCCTCTCCAACACTTTCTAATCTGCCTTTTAACACAGAGATCAGGCCTCACATTTAGAGCCTTTGGCAGGCTAATACCATCCAGCTAGAATTCACTAATGATGTTTTATTTTCACTTTACCTATTTTTATAATTTACCTTCTATTTATGGCAGGTGATACTGGTTTCCTATCATAGTTATATACAGTTATATACCCCCTCGAACAATGTGGGGGTTAGAGGAACTGACCCCAAAGCAGTCCAAAATCTGCATATAACTTCCGACTCCCCCAGATTTAACTACGAATAGCCAGCTGCTGACGGGAAGCCTTACTGATAGTCCAAACAATTAACACATATTTTGTATGTTATATGTCTTATATACTGTGTTCTTACAATAAAGTAAGCTAGAGAAAAGAAAATGTTACTAAGACAATCATAAGGAAGAGAAAATACATTTATAGTACTGTACTGAATTTTCAATACTGTAAGTTTACATCATCTGTTTACAAGATGAATTGTCTGTCTTAAATGGCAGCTGCAGACCTCAGTCTGTGGTACATATCAAGCAATTTAACTTTTTCTTGTAATGTCATAACTTCGCTTCTTGGGGGCACTTCCAGCATCACTAGTGGCCTTCATATGGGTCCCACGGTATCATTCAAGTTTCATAGTACTGCGTTAAACATGAAAAATACTCAAGAACTGTGGGAGATCACTTTTTTTTTTTTTTTTTTTT